TAGTTTATGACCATGAGGTGGAAGGATTTTTTTTTTTATTAGAGAAATATCAGATACCTTTTGGATGAATTTAAATTTGCTTCACCCTTTGATTAAAGTCCTACATAACAAAACACAACCGCACTTTGAACACCAATCTTCGCATTGCTAAGTTCATCATTGATACCAATGGTTGTCCTTCTAAACCAAAGTTGGGGAAAAGAACAATAATAAATAGGTCCAAGGTAACTTTGAAGGATTTGCATCTGTGGAGTTGTGCTGTTGGTGGGTTTTTTTCTTCTGCAGACAACAACCCTAAACATGCAGCCATGTGGTTCAAACCAATAAAATGATCAAATGTTGTAGTCAAAGTTAAGATCAATGTTCAATTTGGAAACCAACAATTTTGGTAATCGAAAAGGTCTTTTTAATGCATCCAGAAAAATGGGGGGGAAAACCCTTCCCTACATGTATGAAACTGGTAGAATTATGCTCTAAAACATTCATAGCTGTATTAAAGAAGTTTCTGACAAACAGTTTTCCTTCCACTTTACAGTTATAGACTACTGTGGGTTGGTTTGTCATATAAAATCCAAATTAAACACAAGAGAGGTGTAACAAAATGCAAAAATGTTGAACAGTTTGCTACGCACTTATCTGTGGACACTGTTGAGCCAAAGCCTTGTCAACTTTCACCCTGGATGTCAGCTCATCTACCTCCCACGGCCGAAACTCCTGAGCTGTGGTCACGTTGACCAGAAGATCCAACAGTGAATGTCTACACAAGGTCAAACACAAAGAAATAAATCAGGTTTTACATATATATATATATATACACTGTGTGCAGTATATAGAAAGCAGAAGCAAAACATACAGGTCATCTCTCAGGCATTCTGCAGAGTAGATGATATTTTCTCTTGATCCTGTCACACTAGATGTAAAAAAAAGGAGAGCACAGTTGACTCAAAGTGCGACACTTTGATAATAATAAGCGATAAACTGTCATAGTGACTCTTTATTCACCTCAGGCTTCCTCCCAAAGCCTCCACACTGCGACAGATCTTAAAGGCAGATGCTCCTTTTGTGGTCTACAAAAAATAACGAAAGACAATGCATGCATTAGTCAGATGCTGAAACATCTTCTTTAAAGAAAAGAGTCAAATCCTCTCACACACTCTTATATACATTACCAGGTTAGCGGCAAGTCGCAGCACATGAGAAACACCCAAGTTCTCCACATTCTCATGACGACTCCCAGCTTTTACAAACACACCGACACTTGATAACGGGGAGTAGTTTTCCAGTGATGCTATCACCAGACCATTCGGCAGTTTCGACACCTGAAGGAGCAGAGAAAAACAGTGTATAAAATCAACCCATAGAGTTCCACTGCTTTTCCCATCACATTTCAGAAAAATTGAAGTGAGCAGCACCTACTTGGACATTCTGAGGTGGAAGAGGTGCAGCCTGGGCAGGTTTTACACTGGTGAGGGGTTCGATCAAAGATTGGCCGCGCCTGGTAGCAGCGTAGCAGCGTTTCTGTGGGAAACATGGACAGAAGATGAACTGTAAACATTTGCTCCATACTAGGGCTGAAACAATTAATTGGATTATTCTTGATTCATCGACTACAGAATTATGTCATTCAATGGAGTATACTCTAAAACATGCCTTTAATTGACAGAATAACCCACTTAACCCTCTGATGCATGAATTATGAAAGCCTTGATCAAGATTTTTACCTCAAGGTTTTTTCTTATTCTTAGGACATGAAAAAAATGTTTAACTTTTTTTTTTCCAAAAATATTGTTGTTTAATGAAGTTACAGATATGTCCACTGGAGTGGACAATGCGCACATGAGAACTCAATATAAAATATTGTGAATTTATTAAAAAAAAATAATGATCTAGTATTCTGTTGTAAAAAATGCAGACCATTGATTCATTTTATTTTGAAAAATATTTCAACATGTTTTGTTTAATTTTTTACATTATAAAGGCACAATTTTAAGAACCGAATAAGGAAACCAATGACACTCATAGCTTACTGAAGTGACTGAAATTCCTCAGGATTTGCTGCTGCCTTGAATGTCTCCTGAAGTGTACTAAGGAAGGGTCTTACAATGGGGAGCCTATATGTGTTTGCAGGGCGGAAAGGTTTCACTATAGAAACCATAGAATTAAAAAGATATTTACTTCGTAGTAGCTGTCCACTACAGTGACCACTATGCACCAGAGGGTTAAAGCAGTAATTATGTCAAAATTGTAAAAAAAAATAAAAAATAAAATATATGTAAACACTTTGCATTTAAGATAAAAAAAAAAAAAAACATTTTAATCTCTAACATTTTAGTTCCATCTGGTTTAATTTAGTTGGTTAAGTTTGGTTGTTTGATTATTAATCGTTTATTGAAAAAAACAATCCACAGATTAATCGCTTTGCAAAATAATCATTAGTTGCACTACTCCATATTTTCTACTACAAAGTTATGCATAAACAATCCTAAACTTAACATGAAAATATGCTTTTGAAATTCAAACATAAATTAGAGCAAAAAGATGAATATATCCAACAGCCCTCGATTTTACTTAAAAATACACTTCTCAAAAAGTTAAACTATCATTCAGAAATGTATGTATTAGTGCAATGTTTATTAAAAATCTAAGCCCAGATGTAAAACTAATTTAAAATCTGTTGCTATTTGCTAAGCTTGAAAACTTCTGTCCACATATGCTCTCAATTCGATCTGAAAGAGGTTGAGTTGTTTTATAAAGATAGAAAATAATTAGCCTTTAGAGATGGAAAGCTAGTAGAGAGATATCCCAAAGAACTAAACTACAGTGAAAGATGACCATACAAAGTTCTGACAACTTTTTTTTTTACTTGGAATTTTTAACTTAAAAAAAGAAAAACTTGAAAAATATACTTTTCTTGTCATTATCAGGCAATATTTGTTTTGTTCCATATCTTAAAACCCAACAAAACATTGTTATTGCTGAAGCATGACACACTTCAGGGGGCAAAAAAAGACTAAGGCACATAACTCTTTCTTTTTTTTTTTTTCAAATGTTTTTTTGTGTTAATAAAAGTCAAATAAACTGATTTCATACGTTGAAGCAATAGCAGCTCAGTTCCTACACAGTAAAGGTTCTTCACCTAAAATAACCCAACAGGTTCCCCTTATTGACATGTTGACTACATCCTGGGAAGATGATATGGAATAGCTGTTCCAACACATCAGTAGGTTGTAACAATGTTAGAAATATGTGATCTCAGTATTTCCCTCTGACAACCTTACAATTAGAACAACTAAAAAAGAAACGAGCTCAGAGATGACCTTCAGGTTGCAGCTAAGCAAAAGCAACGAAATCAAATTAAACAGCATCTATCCGTTACAGGATTTGTTTTTACTGTAGGGAACAACTACTGTTATCATGTAAAATTACTGGTCTGTTTAACTGATCCAATTACACAGGCTGGTTTTACTGAACATATGGGAAGCTAGTTAGCCATCTTGCTAATAGGTGGAGCTAAATGCTACTTCAACTTCTAACCAGGTTAAGAAAAAGAACTACACGTATTTAAGCCTTTCTTATTAAACTGCTAATAGATTAAAAAAACAACAACACAAAACTAACCGACAAATTGTTCAGAGAGCGGACTCCTTTCATGACTCCCGGTTCTCTCCTTCAGCCGGTAGAGAGACACATATGGCGGAGGACTGACCCACAATGCACAGCGCCTCACGTCACCCGGATTTCAAAATAAAATATTCGAAACAAATCTAATAAAAATTTTAATTTGTGAGTCCATTCCATGCTAGAATCGACACTTAATTTATATAGGTGATTTGGGTAAATGTTTTTTTTTTTTATTATTATTAAGAAAATATATAAGAGGAACATGTAAATGGTTTATATAACAAAATAGACATTTCTAACCATAGAAATAGATTAGAAATAACATGCTGACAAAAGCTTCTGGTTTACATAATCCCAATTCACCTAGACCAGCTTGTTTGAGACATTTTAAGGCTTGTAGATGAAAAAGCACCCTAGAGTGAAAATATATCAGGTGTCTATATGTGGTCATTATAAGTTGGATCTATATTGACTGTCTATGGTTATATCTGCACATTTTATCTATTTCAGACTTGAATGTTATATATATATATATATATATATATATATATATATATATATATATATATATATATATATAGCAGGGGGAGTCTTTTATTCAATTGCCCCTCTTTCGGGGCTTTTACATCTACTTGTTTTTAGTTTTTGATTATTGGTTTCTAAAAAAGAAAAAAACCAAACAACCAAAAGGATGAAGCACATGATAATATCGGTCAATGTAATTAGAGTACTTAGATGAATGTGTTTCATTAATAAAGGCATAAATTTCAATAACATTTGTGAAGAAAACACCAGAAAATAATTATAAATGTTAAAAATATTAAGCTTAAATAACTTAAAAATACTTTTAAAATGGTCTTTCATTTAATTAAACATCTTATGTTGTTACATAATACTGGTTTAATATATCCTGGAGTACTGATATGTTTCTGATACATTTCATCAGCTTTCATATACTGTCCAAAAATATATTAGCTTTTCTCTGTAATTTGAGACTGAATTCAAAAGTATAATACTTTTATTATATTCCACCAAGTAAGAATTTTATATTATACTTTGCTCCAAAAAAAAAAAAAAAAGTGTTCTTGAGGCTCTGTGCTGGAATTTTTGACAGACCAATTAAAGGGTGTTAAATGGCTTAGTGGAAGGATATTGCATTGGATTTCAATATAATGTCGAGCTAAATATAAATCTGGAAACAGTGCCATACTTTTGCATTCAGCCCCATTACTCTGACAGCCTTTCATAAAATCTAGTACATGCCACAGAACTTATACTTTAACAGAGTCCACATCTTTTATTTTGTAGATATAAAATTCTTTGGGATGGGTAAAAAAAATAAAAATAATTTTATAATGTGATATATTCAAACTCCCATGCAAATTTATATTAAAGTTATTTATTTACTGTAAATGAACTCTACATTCACCAACATGAAGGACTCGCAACATTACAAAAATAAATTCTACAGATCACAGGTTGAAAAGACAATCCTTCAGAAAATACAAAGTTTCATTACAAAAGACTGCTCACAGGTCCCCCTCCTTGCCTCGCACACCAATGGCAACATACCAAAAATAAAATAATTCACAATGTAGTGTACCCCACAGAACTTTAACATCTTTAGACAGGTCTTCAAAATACATAATACAGTATGTTGGCCAGAAACTTCTTCAGTTTATGGCACCCAGATGTCAACAAGGAACCGTAAATGGTTTAACACTGAACAGAGCAAAAGTCCATACTGGTGAAGAGACTGTGTGTCAGTAACTTGAGATCATGTAAGAAAACATCCTGGAGTAGCCAAAGTGACTCAGTGTAACTCCATAAGGCATTATATTTTAGAACCAACCGGAAAACCCAAGCTGCTCCTTTTGCGACTTCTCCAGGCTCCTTTGTCAAGCAGCCTCAACAAGCATGTTGTCATACGGTTGTTTGATGGAGCGCAAATTATCTTAAACCACTGAAGTGTTTCCACTCAATGTCAGGCTTCAGTTTTCACTTGGCGTGGCAGGACCACTGCTTATATGGACATTCTTCATCAGCTGCAGAGATGCACAGCTGAGCCAGCTACGACTGGTGGGCATCTCCCCGACAATCTCCCAGGCATCAGTTTCTTCACAGTACCGTTCAATAGTGTCATGATATCTGTACAAAGGATAAGAATAAAAAAAGGCAACAATGAAATTAGAAACTACAGATTAAGTATCTCTAAGAATTAAATCCTCAATTATAGAAAGGACTGACTCACCTGTCCCAACCCTCTTCACCTCCTAAAACATAAATCTTTCCATCCACTACAGCAGCCCCCGGCCGGTAGCGGCGCTCTTTCATGGGAGCGCACATCGTCCACTGATTGGTTTTTGGATTGAAACACTCGACTTTATCAGTGTTTTCAGTTGAGGCATGCCACCCCCCTAAAAAGCAACCATCTAATCAGAAAAGACCCCAACTTTGCAGGAAAAAACTAAAACAAGAGGAACGACAGCGTTACCTATAACGTAGAGCCTTCCTTTCAGCGTACAAGCAGCTGAACCAGACCGTGCAATCTGCATCGGGGCGACCTCTGTCCACACTGCAGTTTTGGGATTATAGACCTGAGCGAGGTCAGTGCCGTCTCCATCCTCAAGAACTGCGCCTCCTACCAGCATCAACAGAAAACTGTTATCATTTATATCCTTATGGTTAAACATTAAGAACCTTATACATGTTCCCTACCAGTGACGTAGAGCAAACCATCCAAGGCAACTACTGCAGGGCTTGTAACGGCCATTTTTACAGATGGTGTAAACTGCCAGGAGTTGGTGCGGGGATTGTAGCACTCCACTGAGCTCAGACGCCCTCGGCCCTCCCAGCCTCCGACGGCGTAAACAAAGCCATCCAGCATGGCCAGACCTGAAACAGACCTGCACTGTTAAAAGGCTTTTATTCAAACTGAACCACTCAGATTCATGCTTCAGAAGTGACCACCACAACACTGAGCAAGCCTTGTGCCAACAGTTTGAAACACATTTCTTTACTACGGTACTTAGACCCACTTTTAGCAGTGATTAGGGATGCGAGTCAAAAAAAAAAAAAATGAATGCTTACTGAAATAAATCAGCCTGCATCTAAAATCCCCAATATAAATGAGTCGATAGTAATAATCCACTTAGATTTAGCTCCTTTTAAAGTTTATGTAACATACTGGTTACTGACAAATGGGCAAGTCTTTCTGGTGCCAATTATTGATGACTTCCACTTGATCAAGACTTTTCTGACATTCCATAACAGAAAATCAGTGATAAACTAGGTATGTTTCATCCTGATATTGTTCAATATTGTATAGGTGAATAATCAGAGCTAAAATATCATATGGGAAAGACGAAGTTGCATTGGATTGTATAAAACAATCTTTAGTGTGTGTAACTCTCGTAGGGTTATCTACCAAAACATAGATGTGTAAAACGCTGACAAAAGGAATTTTAGTCGAAAGGTTTTGTGTTTATAGTTCATAATATTCATGAATTAAAACCTGACAGACTGAGGCAATTTAAGATCATAACAGCTTTCATATATAAGCAAAGCCTCCACAAACAATCAAACCATAATCCCAAGTGATTAGAAACATGTGCATTTAAAAAGGTCCAATGTGCCACCGTCTCTTCATAATCTGTCCTATAAGTTTTAATTTGTTAAGCTGGAATATATATGAATCACACTTTAGCAGAAGGTAAGCCGTTAGTACACAGCAGGAAATACTGTGATGAGGCTTTCCTACCCAACTCAGAGCGAGCTACATTCATAGGAGCCATCTCTATCCAGGAGTCAAAGCAGGGGTCATAGCGCCACATCTCTCTGCTGGCTGAGCCATCTGGGAACTCTCCGCCCGCCAAATATAGCGTCGAGTCTACGTAAGCATGGAAGAGGAACATGAAAAACAAACATTCATGCTGGAGATGATTCAGCTTAGTATTTAGCAAAGGAACAAGAAAGAGCAATTAACGATTATAATGCAAATCGATTGATCTGTCAATTATTTTTCCTTTATAATCGGATAGCCAAGTCTTTTTATGTAATTAAACCAGGTGAAACTAAAACTATTTCACTTTTTTTTATTTTTAAGGTTTTTTTATTATTTCTTTTTTTTTTTTATCTTAAATGAGATCTATATATCTTTTACAATTTTGATAAAATTACTGCTCTAAGCAGGTTTCTCTGTCAGCTAAAGGCAAGTTAAAGAGTCTCTATAATCCAGTTGACAATCAATCGATTACTAAATTAGTTGACTATTATTTAAATGATTGATCAACCCGATTGCTTCAGCTCCAGAGAGAAATTCACCTGAGACGACAAGACCGTGTTTGCTGACTGCGAAGGGCAGACAGGCCAGGTTCTTCCAATGGTTCGTCACGGGATCAAAACTCTCCACGCTGCGCAGCACCACCTTGTCGTCCTCTCCACCAACAGTCACGATCACCTCAACGGTTCCTGTTGACACAGCAACAAGTGGGAGAACATAGCTGAGGCCTTGTGGCTTTAGGATGTGAACAAAACCAAAAATGTCATTCATTCTCTGTGGAAAATACAATTTCACAGTTTATAGTAATTTCCCTTTTAGTGCCGCTGATGAATGAAGAATTGGACAGAAGTATTTTTAATTAAAATGCAAACAGGTAATACCTTATTTTTTTTTGGACCTGTCAAATTGAAAAATGACTTACTTTATTTATTGGATCACCTACACCTTTGCATGGTGATGGAGCTATAGTTCATTAAGTGGTGGTCCCAGAAAGTTGCGTTAAGGAACCAGTTTACTGCTTCTAGTGATATAAAATTGTTTTGCACTCACTCAAAGGAAGAAAAATAATATTAAAAGATAAACACAAAAACGCGAACTCGCAAACACATCTGTGACCCTAACCTGTCCAACAAGAAAGGGTGAGCAACAGCATGAGAAGAAGCCAGTAGGTCCTTTGGTAACTGAGGGAGCTGCAGTTCAGAGAACACGTCAAAAGTACAATTTTTTTTTTAATCTGGCTTATAAAAGCAAAGTATGAATGTAGAATCCCATTAACCATTAATAGGGCAATTTACCATTTTTGATCACTTGCATACCCCTTACAAATGGAGTCCCCCCCCCCCCCCCCCCCCCGTCCCTCAGTGAGTTCTAGAATCACAAGATCTATATCCATCCATTCATCAAAGATGCTGCTGCATGGCTGTACATCTTATTCTGGCATTTGACCAATAAGATGAATGTTTGAATGATATATTACCTACTGGAAATTGAGTTGGGGAAAAAAAAAGTTAGGAAAAAAAAAAAGTAAAAAGCTAATTGAAAAGTTAAAGGTAATGACCCTAGTTAATTATATTTAGATTTATAAACTAAAAGATATACACTCACCGGCCACTTTATTAGGTACACCTGTCCAATTGCTCGTTAACACTTAATTTCTAAGCAGCCAATCACATGGCGGCAACTCAGTGCATTTAGGCATGTAGACGTGGTCAAGACAATCTCCTGCAGTTCAAACCGAGCATCAGTATGGGAAAGAAAGTGGATTTGAGTGACTTTGAACGTGGCATGATTGTTGGTGCCAGAAGGGCTGGTCTGAGTATTTCAGAAACTGCTGATCTACTGGGATTTTCACGCACAACCATCTCTAGGGTTTACAGAGAATGGTCCGAAAAAGAAAAAACATCCAGTGAGCAGCAGTTCTGTGGGCGGAAATGCCTTGTTGATGCCAGAGGTCAGAGGAGAATGGCCAGACTGGTTCGAGCTGATAGAAGGGCAACAGTGACTCAAATAACCACCCGTTACAACCAAGGTGGGCAGAAGAGCATCTCTGAACGCACAGTACGTCGAACTTTGAGGCAGATGGGCTACAGCAGCAGAAGACCACACCGGGTGCCACTCCTTTCAGCTAAGAACAGGAAACTGAGGCTACAATTTGCACAAGCTCATCGAAATTGGACTATAGAAGATTGGAAAAACGTTGCCTGGTCTGATGAGTCTCGATTTCTGCTGCGACATTCGGATGGTAGGGTCAGAATTTGGCGTCTACAACATGAAAGCATGGATCCATCCTGCCTTGTATCAACGGTTCAGGCTGGTGGTGGTGGTGTCATGGTGTGGGGAATATTTTCTTGGCACTCTTTGGGCCCCTTGGTACCAATTGAGCATCGTTGCAACGCCACAGCCTACCTGAGTATTGTTGCTGACCATGTCCATCCCTTTATGACCACAATGTACCCAACTTCTGATGGCTACTTTCAGCAGGATAATGCGCCATGTCATAAAGCTGGAATCATCTCAGACTGGTTTCTTGAACATGACAATGAGTTCACTGTACTCAAATGGCCTCCACAGTCACCAGATCTCAATCCAATAGAGCATCTTTGGGATGTGGTGGAACGGGAGATTCGCATCATGGATGTGCAGCCGACAAATCTGCGGCAACTGTGTGATGCCATCATGTCAATTTAGACCAAACTCCCTGAGGAATGCTTCCAGCACCTTGTTGAATCTATGCCACGAAGAATTGAGGCAGTTCTGAAGGCAAAAGGGGTCCAACCCGTTACTAGCATGGGGTACCTAATAAAGTGGCCGGTGAGTGTAAGTGCCAGTATCAGCATTAATGCATGTAAGGTTATTTTGTACCAAAAAGAAAAAAATGTTTCTTTCACTTCTTATAGAAGCACTTTTGTTATTTTTCTTAATTTATTTGGGCCAGTTTGCGTTTATTACATTGACATTAATTTTTGCCATCAAAATATCGATATTTTTTTAATGTTACAGAGGTAATAAGGTCTTGTCCTGATTCCAATAACACTATTGACTTGAAAAGTTGATTTTTAAAGTATTTCACAGGGTGCCCTATAAAGGGTTAAAAGAAAAATGGCAGATCAAATTTGCAGTTTGCCACAAGCCATATAGGGGATGCAGCACAGAAGTAGGAGAAGCTGTCTGAGAGCACAGGAACCTTTTCTCTTAAAAACATAAAAAGCTTTGTGTGAAAACACCATCCTGATGAGGTGGTAAGTGTTCCTATACATGAACCAAGGATGCTTTTCTTAGCAGATAGTAAATGAGAAAATTGATAGAGTTAAATACCAGCCAACATACATTAGAAATTTTTTTGATAGAGCAGAATCCCCATAGGTGAAATCCAGACACCTTCGTTACAGATGTGACTGTCTGTACCTGTGAATCTACGGGGCCTCGCTCTGGAGCTGTAGAGCTCTCCACGGCGATCCTTTAGCAGCAGGTAATCCTTAGCTTCAGAGATGAGCTTCTGACAGGCCTGGTTCTCCTTCACAACATCTAAAGACTCGATTAAGTCATGGAGGTAGTACGGGCTGATGAGAGGCAGGCGGATGTGCTCGAGCACCTTGGAGGAACAAATTGAAGAGGAGACATCTTTAAGAAAAATAAATGAGGTTTCTACTTCGTAGTTTCATTTTAGCATGTAGCAACACAAAGAGGCAGAAATCCAGGTTAATTTTTATACAGGAAAATATATAATTAAAACAAAGTAGACTTCTTTTTATATATGTGATAAGAAAAAAGCCTCTGGGGAAATCTCAGTGCTTACTAATAATCCCCAACACCTGGATGGATGTCTTTGCAACTTAAAACAGCAAAGAGGAGTTTTCTTTCACATCACAGCTTAATGGAGGTAATTTTTTTGCTCTAAATTCTGTGTTGGTTCATAACTAATACAAAGAAATCAGGTGTGATCACAAAGCAGTGCGAAACAACCTGGAACATCACCATATCTCTAATGAAGCTTTACCTTTTCAAAGCCTTGCTTGCGAGTGGGACATTTATTCAACCACAGCATGACGGCCTCAAACACCATCTCCTCTTTTGGGACGTTCAGAAAGTCGCTCGAGATAATTTCTGTAAGTTTGTCCACACAGAGGGACAGGAACTCTTCCTAAAGAGAGAAGAATATGGAAGGATCAAACATTAGCAGCAGCCAAAAAACAAACTGTTGAATGTCAGTTTGAGACTGATTGAATTAAATAAATTGATTCCTTTCATATGGGATCCATCTGATGACAGTAGGACATCTATTTTTGTTACATTGCTGTTAATAAATACTGACCTAAATAATTATAGCTGTGGAATAACTGTACACACCCTGAAACTGGTTTGAAAAAACACCTATTAGAGGGTCAATTTTGGTCACAGAAAAGGTGCTGGTATGATAATGGTCAATATATGCTGAACGGACATAAAGTGCAATCCATTTGTAAGAGAGAAAAAAATAATGACAGATTGCTCCCAAGTCAGAATTAAGGGCAGATTATCCCTCTGCAACCACACACATCAAATGACGCTTGCGTCTGGTCGCGAACCAGTTTTGCTGGTATGCTTACTCCATTTCAAGTCAGAAATGCATGGAAGATGCTCCCGTTTTAGGGGATATTGCTGATACAATTTTACAAATAATTATTCTTACTCCATTTGGTGCAATAAAATAAACATCTTGAGGATCTTTGAAACTATGGAGATGCATCTATAGAAACTAGAAATGGTGGAAATTAGCCATAGAAAAGGGTTTTTAAAGATCCGTTCCAAATTAAAAACATGTCTAAACTGCTGGTATTTTATTGAAAAGGGCTTTTTGTTAGACTTAATGGGCAAAAGAGATTTCAGGTTTTATTTTGAATTTATCCCAAGTTCCAACTGTCTTTCTAAACCTAAAACAGCAACAACACTATTTTACAATATTTCACAACGATGGAAGTTTTAATGGCTTTTACAAACGGAAATGAAAAAAAAAAAAAAAAAAAAAAAAAAAAAAGGTGTAATTAACCGAAACTTTTCCAACATTGTGTCCATTATTTGGACCGTCCCATCTAAACACAAAACATTCACCTGTTGAGAAACTCTTCCAAAGTTCTCCACAATGTACTCCATGCTGTGCTTCTCCAGCTCCTTGCAGGAATGGGCCTCTGCAAAGCAGTGAATTCCCACACAGTTCGTCTCATCCATCTGACGCTCCATAAAGCGGCAGCAAGCCTCTCGAACAGCCATCACATCCAGCAGATTGGCAGCTGCCAGCAGCGCCTACACAGACGCACACCAGTCCTTAGCAGCAATACTTATTTATTTCTGAATGCACTTTAGTGAATATCTTACTTGCACATTTGCTTTAGTAATGAAGACCTCTGATGTGTATGCATAGGTCACCAGCTTGCCAATCATCTGGGGCTCAACCCCATTAATGGCAACACGTTCCTGCTTTGACTCTAGAAGATCAGCTGAAAACATTGCCTGCAGTTGGTAAAACACAAACACATCAAGCTCAGGATTTTCATAGAAGATAAAGTGTAATCTGTAACATTGTGAGATGTTTACCTGGAAGTAGGAGCTAAAAGATGCAAGTACAATTCTATGGCAGGGGAACTCCTGCCCTCCACAGCACAGGGTCACATCACAGAAGGCTTTGTTGAGCCGCATGCTGTTCAGGCCCCGCAGGACTGTGTTGGGATGCGTGGTTTCCACAAACAGGTAGTCCTCGCCGCTCTGAGGATCCGCAGGAGGCCCTGCGGCAGCGGCGGCGGTTTCTTCGTCCTCCAGAGCCTGGAGCATGGCGTTTCTGATGGACCTAAAAAACAACTGAGAGGCGACGGGCAGGACTTCGGCCATATGCGACTGTGCTAGGCACTCCTAAAGATGAAACACAGGCATGTGTAACTTAAACTTCATCTTAAAGGATCATTTAGGACAACTGTTCAATTATCACAGTTGAATTAAATAGAAAGTAGCTTTAAAATCAAAGGCGTATGGTTCGTTTGACTGAGAAGCTTTGAGACACTCACTAATGAGGCTTAGCTCAGATTCACCCGCGAAAAGGAGACACTTGATCGACCTAAACCTCTCCTAAAGCTTTGGCTCACATATAACATGAATACATATCCAAGGTGAAACCCTTGAGAACAGAAATATTCACAACATACACCAAGACAATCCAGTTCAGCTACGCCTCTTAAGTAAAGCCTCGCCCATATCCACTATAAACTCCAAGACGCACGATGATTGGCTGAGCTACGGTTACGCCTTCTAGCCGTACTAACCAATCACTGAGCTTAACAGAATCCATCCACCAATCGTAGCTCGAGAGATATTCCACTCGTTGAAACAGTTCACTGCTAAGTACTTCCGGTGTAGTTGAGGTCCATAGGTATTGATGTCAGTTTTTGCGGCTTGGCTCCATAGTTTTTGATTTTTCGCCCAATTAATTAAAACAGCATGGGACTAATTTACTGTTACCGAAAATAACAGGCATTGCAAAATGTAACATGGCATTTTTTATATATTACACATTCAGTGTCTAAAGTGTGGACATCATAGAACAAAATTCCAAAGATTTTAACATTATGACAATAGAACAATAGCTGAGAAAAACAGATAAATCTATACGAAAGAACAAATACATATTTTTTAAACATACATGCTAAAGTAACCTACTTGCACTGTGCACATACCTAAACTAATACTTTGTAAATGTTTATGCACTTTTATCATTCATTCACTTCCGCTGTCATATCTGGAGTTGAGATAGGGGACAAAACAGGTTTTAAAAAACATTTTTTTTTTTTATGCAAACTATTTTTCTTGGAATTTAATGTTTATCAAAAGAAATGTCATAGCTATTTAACCATATAAGAGAACAGGTTATAAACAGATTACCTTTAATAAAATAAAAAATTAGATCCAGCACTAAAATGGTGTTATCAGTATCGGCAAGTACCAACAAATAGGACACCGATTCCATTTTGAGAGCCAAAGGTTTATTCGACTATTTTCATCTATTCCAGGTAGGCAATAAAAAGTTCTACTGGATTCACTTTGTATTAGTCTTTTTCCTGCTTCACAAAGGTAGACAGCAGCTTGACAAAGCTATGATGGCAATTATTTTACATCCAAGTAGTATGCAGTTCTTTATATATATACACACACACATCAACTTCAAACAGGTGGTATCAGTATCGGCCAATACTGTACAGCCAGGTATCAGGTATTGGGGCCAAAAAAAGGGCATCGGCGCAACACTAATAAAAATATTTAACTCCAGAAGTCGATACCTGTCAACTCCGTCAGTCGCAATAAAAATAATGTCTTTTCTTTGTTGTTCTGTACCAATATTAACCAAATTCCTACAATGTGATCTAGTAACATTTATCTATCTATTGGCATAATAAATAAAAAAAATAAAACTTCTGTTGGGATTCAATTAACTCTATTCTTAAAACCCAAATCTTCAAAATGCCTTGGTTGTTAGTATTTAATTTTTATTTGAAGAATATAAAAACAACTTACTTGATTCATAAATACACAAAAAAGTTTTTCAGAATCTTTATTAGCTGGACAGCAGAAACTGCACAGACATTTTGTTTATTATTCAAAAATCACTAAACCATTCATCTGATAGTGTTGATGAAAAACTGACTGAGAAACAACAGCCAAAATGAGACTGTTTCAAACTATTCCAAACCTGATGCATTTCCCTTTCTCATTTTCTACATATCATCTTCTACTTTTTTTTTTTTGCCTTCCTCTCCTCCATGTCCTGCATATCAACTTCTTTCAGTCTTTTTCCTCCTTTTGAATTTGGGTTTATGGGTACATCTAATGTATTTCACTGGAAATATTAAAGAAAAGGATCATCCAGATCATATTCATGTAATATTTTATTGATTTAGTCCAAATCTTTTTTTGTTGTTTCAAATTAATATGTTTGTATGTGTAGGTGTGGGATACAATTTAAAAAAATATGGTAAAGGTTTTACTTTTTGCACTTATCCATTAAGCAACAGGCGTTGGGCATGCTCATGTTCAATGAACTCCATCACATCGCTGGCTATGGTTTATATTTCTCTTGCTCTTGACTGGATGTATTTGCCATGATTTTTACTATGATGTCTTGAACTCTGCAGAAACAGATATATTTTCTGGTATTTTTAGGTTTAACCTTTAATACTGGGCAATGGGGAAGAAGAAATTCCACTTTCACATCTCGGTGCTCAGAGTCCACAGAAATGATCTTGGCTAGCCAACAGTGGCCATCATACTCTACAACTAGCTGTTCTCCTTTATTGCTAACAGCAGTTACTCTTAGTACCTTCAGGACCTTTTTGGGGCACATTATCCAACTCTTCCTTCATCCATTCTTCTATCTCCATCTCCTCTTCCATTTCACTTCCAAACTCCTCAAACAACAATGCTTACAAAGTTCTTTTCTTCATTGCCCTTCTTGCATCACTATGTTGTTTCTCTCAACATTGTAAACATATGTTAACAGGACTAAAGCACTGGCAAACCAACATTTTGCTGCAAAAGCAATAAAGTTGTCTGTGGTAAATGCTGTTGTCATGTGTATTTTCCTCATTGAAGGAACTGGCTTTAGAGGTTTTATGAGAAGAGCATCAAATCTTTGCATCTTTTCCTCTTGGATGTTGAACGGCTGAACACCCATCAGACTGTTAGAGACCTTTATAAAATAGGTGTGTTTCCATCTGTCACATCATTTCCTCTCAAAACTAGGTTGCTACCTGTTCTTTTCACTGTTCACCAAATCCCATCTGGGGCACCCTTGCTATGGGAGGTGCTGTTTAGTTACCTTTTTGAGCCTGTTAAAAAGGTAAATTTTATTTCTGTTGAATGTCTTTCTGGTATTCCTTTTTTCCGGTTCATATCTAGAAGCCTTTGTGCTATTTCTATTTTTCTTACTCTGATCTAGCTGATTATCTGGTGGTGGGTCTGCTTGCAGGATTGCACTTTAAATGGACCCTCGCTTACTGGACCTGTTCTGTGCATCTTTCCAAAAATGTCTTTGTTGTCTCCTTGCCCTGTCCCCCATGTCGATTATTTGTATTATTCGTTTGTCTTGAATTCTCTTCTTGGACATTTATCTTTCCTTCTCTTGCATTTCATGTTTGCTCACTGGATCATTATTTATTTTATGCCTTCTTATTTGCTGATATTCTCTATTTCTTCTCCTTCGCTCCTGAACTGATAGTTTTTGTCTAGCTATCCTTTTCTGCAATACAAATTAAAGCAATAAAAAATATTCTAAATTTCAAGTGTAAAATCCAAATGTTAATTAACTGACTTCTGACATTCTTTAATTTACACCGATCAGGACTTCAGAGACGAGGTGGAGCAGCTGGTGGGCCGGTGCAGAGATAACAGCCTGATCCTGAATTCAGAGAAGATGAAGGAGATCATCTTGGACTTCAGGAGGAACTGGCCTAACTACGCTCCACTGCTCATCAACAGCTCAGCTGTAGAGGTGGTCAGCAGCAACAAATTCCTGGGGGTGCACATCACAGACTCACCTGGATTGTAAACACTACCTCACTGGTCAACAGGGCACAGAAGTGCATATACTTCCTGAGGAGGATGAGGAGAGCCCACCTGCCCCCACCCATCCTCACCACCTTCTACAGAAGCACCATAGAGAGCTTTCTGACCAGCTGTCTCACTGTGTGGTGTGGAGGCTGCAGCGCCTCAGACAGGAACAGGGTTAGAAGAGTAGTGAGAACAGCAGAGAAGATCATCAGGGCTCCTCTTCCCTCCATTAAAGACATTTCATCCCAGTGCTGCATGTCCCGAGCCTGTAACACCATCAGCGACCCCTCACAGCCCCACCATGGACTGTTCTCCCTGCTGCCCTCTGGGAAGAGGTTTCGCAACAGTCAATGCAGGAACAACAGAATCTGCAACAGCTTCTTCCCCACTGCCATCAGGCAGCTGAACTGTTGAAAAAAAAAACTCTAAATCAAGTCAAAGACTCTGCATTTAACTGATAACACCAAACCAAAAAAAAAAAAAAGTTTTTCTACTGCATTCTTGCTCATTTGTCTTTGCACTGCTCTGAACTTCCATTTTAATATGTTTTTGCACCATGTTTTGCCCACTGTTTACGTTTGATCACTGCTGCATATGAAATGGAGATGTTAATTTCACTGCTAAGCTGCTGCTCATTTACTGTCTGAAAGCTGTATACAAAAGTTGCAGCATCATTTGATCTGATACCATTTTTTCTATATCATGAAGCCATTGCAATCATACATTGGTCTGGACACTTTTAAGAGCTACTCTGTTTGTATAACTTTGTGCTTGTATAATTTACTGTGAAGCCTGCTAAAGGTTAAAAAGATGCACTTTGTGGCCATAGATGGATTTTATTTCTTTTTATTCATTATTTTATTTGATCCACCTTCAATCAGAAACATATGCTTGGATTGAAAAGGGAGCTGATTTATTAATTACTCTGACCTTCTATTTTACCCCTTTTTGATTTTTTTTTAAATATGTAGTATGATTATAATGAGTTATGGTTCCAGCTTATTCCTAAATTCCCTATTTTATACACTTGTCATCTAAATAAATGTACTGTTACTATAGTTAATAATTTTTCCCCCTAGCTTTTATTGTCTTTACACTGTCAATAGTACAGTGCAATGAAATTAACTCACTGCATTAAAGCCTTCCTCTTGGGGAAGAGTGAGCTGCCTTTGTGCGGCGCCAGGGGAGCAGAGTCAGCTTAGGGGTCTTTGCCCAGAGTGGGACCCAGAATGGACCCAGAGTGGCAGTCTGTGTGGTAGTGGAGCTTGAACTCAGAACCTCTCGATTCCAAGCACAATGCCCTAACCACTAGGCTGCCACTCCCCCTTGAGCTTTTTATATATA